AAACCTCCTCCTAATATCTAACCTAAACCTCCCCTGTCTCAGTTTAAAACCATTCCCCCTTGTCCTATCACGATCAACTCTCGTAAACAGCCCTTCACTGTTGATATGCTCCCTTTAAGTATTGGAAGGCCACAATGAGGTCTCCCTAAAGTCTTCTCCAAGCTAAACAAGCCCAGTTCCCTCAGCCTTTCCTCATAGAGAGGTGCTCCAGCCCTCTGATCATCTTAGTGGTCCTCCTGTGGACCCGCTCCAAGAGCTCCACCTCCTTCCTGTACCGAGGGCCCCAGGCCTGCACGCAGTACTGCAGATGGGGCCTCACAAGAGCCGAGTAGAGAGGGACAACCACCTCCCTCTCCCTGCTGGCCACTCCTTTTTTAATGCAGCCCAGAACATAGTTGGCCTTCCGGGCTGCAAGTGCACACTGCTGGGATATATAAACAGTTATATATAAGAAAAGCTCATGTAAATAAATGTGTGTATCAGACAATTCAGGGAAGGAGGGCAGAGATGGAGACTGAAGGGCAATGGACTCAATTTCCAGCTTACAGCTTGCTTAAGGTGTGTTTCCTGACAGAAACAAAGCCACTTTCACCCACCATCCATTCTGAAACTACACTGAGAAGCTGAGAAACTACACTGAGATGTCTTGAATTCATCAGTACTGAAACAATAACAGCAGATATATAAGACTCAATTAATGAATAAAGGGAAATCCTAGGATTTAAGGAAAGAAAAAATGACAAATCCATGTAGTTTTTATTGTTACCAATATCAGAATTGGAGAAACCTTTGATTGTACTGTCTACACGACCAAAAAGCATATCCATGCTTTATTTTGAATTAAGAAACAACTGAAGTTTCAATTGATGCAGAGCCTGTAATTAAAAAGTGCAATATTTCGCACAGAAAGAATTAAGACATTTCTCTTTCTCCCTTATTTTTTAAGAAGGTCATATGAACAAAAGAGAACGATCAGACAGTTTGCTGGTGTCAATGTTTAGAACTTCTAGCAGGCAGTAAAAACCCACTGTGATAAATGGAAAACATTGAAGAACCCAAGAACGAGTGAAAAGTCTCATAGAAAAGGCAGGTGTGAATTAGGTGAAGGCTTATTCCTTAGGTGAGATACAGAGGGCAGAAATGAGAGACCAGAAATCAAAACAGCACTGTACTGCCATTTGATTACTACACTTTCTGAAAGCTCTGTTATCCACAAGACAAAGGCATGCACTTTCCTGATTATCACTTGGTGATTCAATGTAAGGATAACATCCATTACAACCACATATCCTCAAAAGTCACAACTGATGGCTGGAGATTAGGATTCCTACAAGAATCAGTTAACAGATGCCTGCACATCACTGTGGAATTCTCTATTCATAGAGCAAGTATTGGTTTTCCAGCTGCTCCTACGACAGTGGAGTTCTGCATCTCGTTTCTCTTTCTAGCTGTTTTCTCTGCCTAGCTCTACACGCTGCCGTGAGGGCCTCCTGGTGGTGCAACCTGTGACCGTCAAGCAGGAGGAAAGCAGTTGCAATGTGGTGTGGCAGCTGTCCTCCCATGTCTGGAGCTGACCATAACGTGAAGAAAAAAACCGAACAAACCTGAAAAAGAGGTGTTTGCTTCGGCAATATCATAGAATCACAGAATCACAAAATGTCCTGGGTTGGAAGGGACCTCAAGGATCATGAGTCTACAACCCCCCTGCCACATGCAGGGCCACCAACCTCCACATTTAATACTAGACCAGGCTGCCCGGGGCCCCATCCAACCTGGCCTGCTATAACAGGTGAGATATTTATACCACTATCTATCATTCTAGAAGAAGGGATATAATGAACTGCAGAACACTGAGGTGTCAAGAATTGCCTTACTGCTCAATAAATTAATTGGGAATGAAATTATTTTCAGTATGAAAAAAAAAGCTTAAGTTTTAAACTCAGCCTCGTCTAGCCCACCAGTGAATGTAGCAAGTTTTAAATGTCAGAAATGAAAACAAATACCCTCTTTGACATCACAATAAGCATAGAGGTTTGGGGGAGGCCAGGTTGGCTATTAGGAAGAATTTCTTCTCCCAGAGAGCGGTGCTGCAGTGGCACAGGCTGCCCAGGGAGGTGGTGCAGTCATCGACCCTGGAGGGGTTCCAGAACTGTGTGGATGTGGCACTGAGGACGTGGTTATGGGCACGGTGGGGATGGGCTGGAGGTTGGACCGGGAGGTCTTAGAGGTCTTTTCCAAACTTAATGATTCCGTGATTCTATGATCTCTGTCTTGGATGAGCAATAAGGCTGTGAGTCCTGCCCTATGTCCCGTGCTCTGAGCTCAAAACAGCAGCCTCTTATGGTAAGAATGTGAGCGCTAACTTGGCTTCCCCCATCTCCCCTCAGTTTTTTGTCTTTCCAGATGAATTTCTTCTCACCACTTCCTGATGAAAACGGTGATTCCCTGAGCTTTGAGAGAATCCCTGCAAGACCCCGGGTGAGACAGTTTGGTGTTCTGATATTAATGCTGTATTCCCACAGCCCTCAACGGACAACACGGCGCTGTGAGGCTGCATCCCGAGTGCTGCGTTCAGTTCTGGGCCCTTCGCTGCAGAAAAAACACGGAGGCCCTGGAGCGTGTCTGGAGAACGGCAGCAGAGCTGCGAGGGGTCTGGAGCACAAGTCCGATGGGGAGCGGCGGAGGGAACTGGGGCTGTTCAGCCTGGAGAAGAGGAGCTCAGGGGAGACCACAATCTGCGAGCAGGCACCGAAGCCCCGCACGCTCCTCGCCCCGTCTGAGCACGGCCGTACCCCCGCAGCGCACTTAAACCCCACCCATGCCCCCCGCGAGGCCCGGAACCCCGTCGCCAGGCCCCACGCCCAGGGCAGCAGCTGGGCGGAGCGGCGAGGCCCCGATGTCTCCATGGCGACGCGCCGGCCGCAAACCGCCGTCGGGCCACGCGGCGGACCCGCGGCGCAGAGCGGCGGGGGCTGGCGGGGCGCAGGCGCCGCTCGGCGGAGCGGTGCTGCCCCCACGGAGCGAAGGCGAATCCCGATGGAGCGGGCTGCCGCCTCCCCCGCGCGGCGGGGCTGAGCCGGGCGCTGCGGCGGGAGGGGAGCGGGGAGCTCCTCGTCTGCTCTTCTCTCGCAAACGGTGCCCGCTGCCTGCCCCCAGCGCGGGCCCTTCGGGCGGTACTCGTTGCAGGGCGAAGAGCCCGCGCCTCTGCCCCTACTGTGTTCTTGGGACGCGGCCCGGCGGTAGGAACGTGGCGGTAGGGAGCGATGCCCCTCTTCGGGAGCACCTTCAGCCCTAAGAAGACCCCGCCGCGGAAGGCCGCCTCGCTGTCCAACCTGCACTTGGTGAGCGTTGGGGCTGCTGGTTCCTCCCAGTCCTTGGGTGGCATCTCCGGTGTGTTTGGGTGGGAGAAAGTGCGGGCGTGGTGGTGAGTAACTTGGAAACGAGTGATAGGACAAGGGGTGATGGGCTCAAGTTGTGCCAGGGGAGGTTCAGGTTGGATGTTAGGAAAGATTTCTTCTCCCAAAGAGTGGTGCTGCAGTGGCACAGGCTGCCCGGGGAGGTGGTGCAGTCACCGTCCCTGGAGGTGTTCCAGAACTGTGTGGATGTGGCACTGAGGAACACTGAGTTGTTTAATGGTGATGGCTTGGTGGCTGACTAGATGATCTTTAGAGGTCTTTTCCAACCTCAAAAGTTCCTTCTCTCTGCAGCTGGACAGATCCACCCGCGAGGTCGAGCTGGGCCTGGAGTATGGCACCCCCACCATGAACCTCACTGGGCAGAGCCTCAAGTTTGAGAACGGCCAGTGGGTGGCAGGTAGTGCTGTGCAGCACGGCGGGCCTCCAGTGGTCACGGTTGGCCTCCAGTGGTCACGGTTGGCTGACGGCCCTCCGTGTGGTCTCTTTATTTCCTACAGAAATAGGAAGCTTCACGGGAGATCGCAGGGAAATGCAGCGCTTGCGTAAACGCAACCAGCAGCTGGAAGAGGAAAACAATCTCCTTCGTTTGAAGGTGGATATTCTGCTGGACATGGTGAGTACTGAACTTCTACCTGCCCTTAGTGGTGGAAATGCTGATGGGAAAGGTGTTGGGGGCACCAAAGGAAGTGGTTCTTATTGCAGAGAGTGCACTCCATTCCTGCTTTACCATACTATGCAAGAAAAAATTTGGTGCCGGAGTGAACATGGGAGAAAGATCTGACTTCATCTGCTCCCTCTGCGAGATGAGGGGCAGAGCTTGGCTCAGCACTTAGCAAGTGCTGAGTTGGACAGGAGCCTCTGCAAGTGCTGTGTCAGGTCACAGAAGATTAAAGCTCTAGGATCTTCCTCGTGACCTGACAAGCACTCTTATATCTGTTCTGTATGTAAGCCTTGACGGGACAAGAGGAGAAACTGGAGCATAGGAAGTTCTGCACAAATGTGCGCAAGAACTTCTTTACAATGAGGGTGACGAAGCACTGGAACAGGCTGCCCAGGGAGGTTGTGGAGTCTCCTTCTCTGGAGATATTCAAGACCCGCCTGGATGCCTACTTGTGGGACCTGGTGTAGGGATCCTGCTTTGGCAGGGGGGTTGGACTCGATGATCTCCGGAGGCCCCTTCCAACCCATACGATTCTGTGATTCTGTGATTCTATGGGTGACAGAATTCCCCAGCACTAAACTAACCAAAATTCAGCTTTACACATTCAAAATCCGTAGAGTTTCTTTGCTGAAATAGAATATGTGTATATTCTGAGTATACTAAATGATTTGGCCTTTATTCAGCCTGAAGAAATAGCTGTTCCGTCAGCATTTTCCTTCTTTATGTTCTTTTATGTTTTAAAATCTGGAAAGTTGCTTCTGTGACTGCAGCACTGCACTTAGCAGGAAGTATAGCTGCCCTCCAGGTTCTCTGGGCTGTCTTGGTGAAGTGTGAAGCCTCAGCTTCCCTCTCACCAAATTGCAGACACTTTCTCACATTGGAGCTGGATGCGACTGTAAATTTTGGTGACATCTCTGGAAAGATTGTGTCACAAAACAGAGTGTAATTAGAAAAGCTTCTGGTAGGATGGTGCTCGAAGGTGCATATTACTGTTGCTCACTGTGCCTTGCAGCTCTCTGAGACCACCGCCGAGTCCCACCTGATGGAGAAGGAGCTGGAGGAGCTGAAGAGTCACATCCGGAGGAGGAAGTGACAGAAGCGGTGGCTGAGGGAGAAGGGAGAGGAGGTCATGGGACACTTTCCCTGTTCCTGCAGGCAGAGACTGGCTTGGGTGTCCGGGCTGTATTGGTACCACATATAGATAGTTCCACGGGACAAGATACTTGCAGTATTGCATCGGTACTGTGTAAGGGTGCTTCCGCATCCCAGTACGTCACATTGTGCACTGTTAACCAACGCTCACGTTTGTTCTCGGAGCACTTTACCACTTTTTAGCACTCGTGGCTGTTAGCCGCAGGTACACGTGCCTCACAGCAACCTGGCAGCACCGTGCTCCCTGTAAGCAGAGATCTGTGCCACGGCAGATGCTTGGATTCACAGCCGGGCTTTGTGCAGGGCCTTTGGCGAGCGGGGCGCTGACCTTGCTTGTTTTCGAGCGTTCGGCATCGTTTACGTGAAAACTCACATTAAAACGTTCGTTGGAACCAAAATCTGAGGGCGCGTCGTATTTTGGGGAGTGACACCTCCCGGCCGCCAGGGGGCGCCGTGCGCCCCGCCTTTCTTCCGGGGCCGCTCCGTCCGCAGTTCCGCTTCCGCCGGCTCGCTGCCCGCTCCGTCCCTGGTGGTGGTGGTGATGGCTGCTGCTGCGTCCCTGTCCCCGGAGGAGCTGCTGCCCAAGGGCGGCGCGAGCAAGGCCGAGGAGTTGGAGGACGAGCTGGAGGACGACGACGACGACGAGGAGGTAGCGCGGCGGCGGGGCGGGCCGGGATGGCCGGGAGGGCCGTGCGAGCGGGGTGACCCCGTCGGGCGCTGCAGGCCTGACGCCGCGCTGTCGCCCGCAGCTGGACGAGACGCTGGCCGAGCGGCTGTGGGGGCTGACAGAGATGTTTCCTGAGAGCGTGCGCTCGGCGGCAGGAGCCACCTTCGACCTGTCGCTGGCGATAGCGCAGAAGATGTACAGGTGAGGGGCGGCGAGGCCCGCGGGCTGCGGAGGGATCCGCTTCCCGGCGGCCGGGAGGAGGCCGGGTGGTTCCAGACGGACTTCAGGCTGGAGGAGGGGGAGAAGGAACAGAGGAGGGATCCAAGTGCTGCTGCAGCGTGCCACGAGATTCGTCTTCCTAATGCGTTTTCTTCCACACAGATTCTCTAGGGCAGCTCTGTGGATTGGGACCACCTCCTTCATGATTTTAGTTCTTCCCGTCGTGTTTGAAACCGAAAAGCTGCAGATGGAGCAACAGCAGCAGCTGCAGCAGCGACAGGTGAGGCTGGAGCTCAACCTCCCGCCCTCATTGCGGTTTGGATGCGGCTCTGGCTGCCTGCGCAGTCCCACAGTGATCAGCTGGTGCTGCTGCTCTGGAAGCAAAAAGCAAAGGCGATGTGTTTGATGCTGTGGGCTCACTCATCCCACAACGTACTCTTGATTGCATTCTCCACTGGGAGTAGCACGAGGCAGCTTCCTCTTGGCTTGCACAGCTGCATCCAACCCCACAGGTCTGGGTTTGGAGAGGTCAAGCTCTGAACCTGGTGGTTGTTGCGGAGAGGGAAAGGGCTAAATGTGTAATCCCAGGGGTGGGTGCTGCCTCGCTGTGCTCTCCCAGTCCTAATGCAGGGTAGCGAGGTGCATCCTCAAATATCTTCTAATACCTCTCTCTCTTACAGATTCTCTTAGGACCCAACACAGGGCTGTCTGGGGGCATGCCAGGAGCTCTGCCTCCACTTCCCGGAAAAATCTAATTTGCTGCAGCCACGTTGGATTTGTATCATGTGGGAAGACCTTGAGATTATGATATATTGAACTGTTGATTTGTTGGGTCAGGGCATTTATTTTTTTGGTTCTGTTTTTATTTTTGGTTATATTTTGGGACATTGACCTGTTCATACTGTGGGGGAGGGGGGAAGCCCCCTGTCTGGACCTGATGATGGCTCCTGTCTGCATTCTTCCCCTGTAGAAGTCACGAGTCTTTTCTTTTGTTCAATCAGTACGCTGTAATCGGTTACAGAGACTTGAAATCATGGAGTTCCTGTTCTGGACTCCTTGCTTCCCAGAAAAACCACCTTGGGGCACAAGTTGGGCTTCAGACAGCAACAGTCAAACACAAATCCTTTCTGGCTAACTCAAAGCCTGAGAGCATCAGTGACAGAACAAGAAGCAACTCTCCCAGCAGATGAAGCAAAAAAAGAAGGAGGGTTGAGGGTATCTGTACCCTGTGGAAAAAAATTCTCTGGGAAGATGTGTGTGCAAATACTTTCACTGCAACATTGTGTGTGTGCGTGTGTGAGTACCAAGGGAGTGGCAGAGGGGGTTAATGAAAATCACATTAGTGCTGATCCTCTGCATCATAAAGTAGAATTTCAGAATCGGTTGCATATTTTTTTGTATTGAATATTAAATAAATCCAACCTGAGCAGTGTGGTTTTAATAGATATTCCTTGAAGAGGATGCTTCTTTCCTGGAGCATTGGTGCCACTGAAGTTTAAGCAATCTGCCCTTCCAGTTCACGCACATTGCTCCTGGGGAGGGGACTCCAAACATCTGGGGGTAATTTAAGGGAGTTCTCACAAAAGTGCTAGAATTTCTGTCCACCATTCTACCTCAAGCACCAGGAACCAAGGCTCAAGGTTCTTAATATTATTCAGTTTTATAACCAAAGAAAAAAAGTTTATTTTTCCTTTACATACTTTGTTACAGAACAATTCAGTTGAACATACAGAAGTGATAAGACATTTATATGGAAATGTTTTTTTTCCCATTTTTTTTTTTTTCATTTTTGGTTAAACAAAATACATCTCTGTAAACAAACCCAAGACAAGGCTCTAACAAAAACCAAACAAGCAAGAAAACAAACTTGGGCTTTCCCCACTCCCAGGCAGTGGGACTGGACTGGTCTGCCCACCCTCTGTCCAGCAGCCTTGCTTGCCCCAGGGGTGTGATCATTCAGTTTCCCTTTACCTGAGCAGCTGGATCACACTATTTTCCCCCCACAGGAGAGGTGCTGACATACAAGGAGAGGAAAGTAGCCCCAAAATATTTTAAAACATCTTTGCATATTGTGCACTGATCCATTGGCTTGCAGTTTCCATGCAAACGGTTTCTCCAAAGTGCAGTTTTACGCAGCATAGAAAAATGTTGCTGTAGAGATTTTTTTTCTCCCCCTTCCTCTCGAAGAAATGGCTTCAAGTCATGAGCAGAATGCCTGCAGGCTTTGCATTCTGCTTGTAAAGTGTTTAAAAACTCCGCCAGCTGGTATTGGTCATTGGAATGTGTTACGAAACAGGACTTGTTCTAGAAACGCTGGGTATTTAAAACGTAAGAGCCACCTGCCCTCAACTTCTGAAGGTTGTGCTCAGAAGACTGCAAAATGGTGCTTGTGGGATGTCCGGGGCTCAGTGAACACCACGCTCATCCTGTTGTCACGCTGCCTCCAGTCTTGGTAACAAGGTGTGAGTTAGCAGTCTCTCGCTTGGCTTCAAACACCTGCTCACGCTTTGCTGAGCTCTCAAGAGACAAGCAACTGAGAAAAGGTAGTTACAGCCCACAGCCCTCCTTCTGAAAGGCCCAACACCACCAGAACGAGACTTCCCTACCTGGCACAGCAGAATCGTATGAACTGCATCCCTTTCAGCAGTTACCATTTAGCTGAGACCCCACATGTGTAAAGGGAGAAACAAATGGCAGTTCAGCCAGGAAGAGCTAAATGCAAGGAGCCATGTCCTCAGTTCAGTGCTTCCTCCTGCTTGGAAGCAGCAACTGAGCTACAGCTGGCCTAAGTGAAAGAGAAATAACAGACTAAGATCGCTCTTAGAGTCTCCATGTTTCATCACTTTTTTCTCCCATGGAAAGGAGGGAGGAAAAAGCAATTCACTCATTAATGGAATGTTTGTCAGCCAACACTAAAAGAGAAGTTGATTCAACCACCAGGCCCCACGCTGTAATGCCTGATGATTCTGGTGGACCCTCTGCATCTCCCGTATTGGCTGCTAATAACTATAAAGAGGCAAAAGTTGACTATCATAAGACTTCCCCTCCTCAAATTATTGTTACATATATTTTTTCTCCTTTTGTGACCAGCTCACTTGTAGGAAAACTCCTTCTGGGACATTCTGCATGGTATTTGTGATCGTGAGCTAGACTTCTGGAAGAGAATTATTTCCTCTTAAAACCCTTTCAGATTTTATTTTTCTTTCCAAGCAGCTCCTAAACTACTGGGTGTTCATGCAGAAAACCAAAATAGCTTCAGATATTAAAAAAAAAAAAAATTAAAACCCAACATAGCACAAAACCCAGGCAGACTTCAGCCTCTAGTTCAGAAACCTGATACTCCCCCATTAGCTTGTGCCTGCTGTTTTCGCACTGCCTTAGCAAGCCACACATTGCCAAACAACTACTTGGCCACACATGTAAATCCTTGGAGATACTGGGGAAGAATCCTCTAGTTACCCAAAGAATTTTCTGAAAGATGACTTTTTTTTACTACCCCTCCCCTCTAATTCTGGGCACAAACCATCCCTACAAAGCAGAGGGTCGTGCTGAACACCACACCATTCCTAGTATTTTGAGTGTGTCCTGAGAGACCCTTACAAGTCACAATTGCCTTCACGACAACTTGTTTTGGAGGGAGAGGCTTGTGAAGGAGCAACAACGTGCTTGGCCCCTGCTCCTCCCCAGTGAGCTCTAAAGGAACACAGCGCCACAATACGCAGCCTTGGGCAACACAGAGAAAGAAAGGTCGGAGGCTTACAGAAAACCCAGCCTTGAAGCACAGCTTTAGAGAGAGCAACGCCTTCTAGTTAGCTGAAGAGCACGCAGCTCATTCACCTTTTCTATCAATGAATGGCTTCCAGTTTCCTCCACTCTGCCTTCAGTATCCCCCACCCACTACCCCCAGTGTCCTACGCCACCGCCCTATTGCACCAAGGAAGAAAGGAAAGAGCCTAACAAAGGAAGTTCCAGAAGAGAAGAGTTGGGGCACCCATTATCCAGCTTTCAGGACATCATGAGTTCCAGAAAGGGGAAGAGCTGTAGTGAGAGGACAGAGTTGATCCAAGTCACACGTCAGCTCTCCAGCTCTGATGTGCTTCCACCTCCTCTGGCACCACCAGCAGGAGTTCACAGTTCTTTCCTCTTAGCTGGTGTTTCAAAAATTTCCTACAGTAAGGAGAAACAGGAGTAAGCACAACTGAATGTAGAACTTTGTCATCTACTACAACTAAACATAGCTATTTATGCAAATATGACAAGAAATGAGAGGAACATCTTCTCACCTCATTATTTCCTGACAGAAAACTGAACAAAAGCTCTACATTCAACACATCTCTACCCAGCAAGCTATTGCAGAATCAGATAGACATGATTACTTCAGTTGAGAGATCTACATAAGTGTCACACCCCAACTTTCCAAGGTGGCAAAAATAGCAATTAAAAACAAACTTTCTTCAGGTGTCCAAGACCAATAACTGCACTTTAACTGAAAGTAACTTCAACAAATCCAGC